AATTTCACCCTTAATTGCTGGAAATAGGAGGAGATAATCTGTTTTTAATGTTGGCCAGATAATGGGCATTCAAATAATTTGTAATGCAGCTCCAGTGGAGAGATAACATCTCCAGGCTGGCCAAGTAATAGGTGTAGTAGTGGGCCCAATCCTGCTCTCATTGAAGTCAAGAGGAATTTTACCCTTGGTTTCAGAGGGAGTGGAACTGGGTGAAATTACTGCCTTGGTACTATAAGAACGAATAGCATCCTTCATAGTCATAAAGGAGCTTTGGTGTCAGAACTCCACGAACAGTAAAAGTAATCAACGTAAAAGATTCTGCAAAAATATGTGATCACAGAAGTGCCCGATTGTACTTAGAAGTGTCTTAAGGAGACTTTCTTAATGGAAAAATTACTGCCAGGGCTTTCGATTACTGGGGAAATGACATCTGTTACCAGCATAGGCAAAAATTGAGCTAGTTAAACCAGATTCAGAATCATTTGGAAGTTCTCTTCTGGCCTTGGTAACTCTCATAACTCTCCTGTCTCCAAGGAAGTTTTGCCAATGCAGGGAAGATAGACTAAAAATTATCACATTTTCGGCAGGATATTTAGCAACTTCTGTCGACAAGTCTCTGCCAGGATTTAATGACAGCAAAATGCTAAAGCCCCATTTTAATCTACAACTGGAACTGAGTCAGGGAACCTGCGTATTGCATTGCTTTTCCCAAAGCAACTACAACACAGTGAAAAGTTGGAGCATCGATGGGATCTGACTCTATCCCATAACCAAGTTAAAACACTAAACTGCCCCTTACTTGGGTATAGTTGTAGTCCCATGCTGGCCAGAAGAAAATTTAAAAGGATAAACCTATGTGGTGTGCACCCATGAGTCTGTCTATCTGCCTGTCCGTCTTCTCGCACTCTGGGTATTATATTATAGGGATTGCCTGTAATAGTTGGGGTTATAGGGCAGGTTGCTTGCAATAGCAGAGGTCTGCACTCAGTGACCCAGGAGGTCCCTTCCAGTGCTATGTCCTGTGTTCCTATGCACAAGGGCAGATTAGGGTTTTGTGGGGTCCTGGGCCAGAGCAAGTTGGGGCCCCTCCCCAGCCCTTCCACCTGCAGTCCCCCTGGTGCTCCTACCAGGGAAATGGGGTCGGGTCGCGGGGGCTTGCTCCGCCCCCTCTACCCAGCACTCCTGTCAGGGAGCAAGGTCGGGGCATGGAGGCTAGCCCTGCTCACTGGCAGGAGTGCCGGGAAGGCAGGTGGAACGGGGCAATCCCCCGTACCCCGACCCTGCTCCCTTGCTGGAGTGCAGGGCGGGCAGAGCAACACAAGCCCCTGCGCCCCGACCCCGCACCCTGGCTGGAGCGCTGGGCGAGCAGAGCGGGTCAGGGCGTGGGGCCGCCCTAATTGGCTGGGGCCCCTGGGCACCGGCCCCCTTGGCCCATTGGCTAATCCGCCACTGCCTGTGCATCTCCCAACCTGAAGAAGAGAATATCAACACCAAAAAAATGACAAAGTCGGTTTCATGAGGCCCTCAACTTCCATTGACTTCAGTGAGAGTTGAGGGGGCTCAGCTCAGGATCAGGCTCTTAGCACTGGGCTTGGCTAAAGCCCAGATCTTTTATTGTAAAGACTGCAGCTTGTTTCTGTGTTTTCTGTTCCAGTGGCAATGGCCTTTGCCTTACCCAGCTGAGCTGTGGCAGCCCCTTGTCACCCCTTTATGGAGTGGAGGGACCAGTGTATACTTAGAAGAATGGGGGAAGAGTTGTTCCCACTTAGATCAGAACTGAATTTGGCCTGATAGCTCTCCAAGTATCGCTCTCGGAGCTAGAGCAGAGCTTTTCAATCTTGGAGCCAGTGGCTACTGTTGACTAACTCTATCCTGTGGCCATTCTGTGTGCCGTACTCCCATTGAATCAATGGGAGCTTTGAGAGGAGATCAGTTGCCGTATTTGACCCTCACTAAAGTTTTTCCTATAGGTATAGTGTAGGAGGCTGGGGTTTTTCAAAGATGGCTAAAGGAGTTAGGTGCAAGTTCCATTGAAAGGCGATGCAATTAAGGGTACGTCTTCACTACCCGCCGTATCGGCGGGTAGCAATTGATTTATCATTAAGACGCGATATATCGATCCCCAAACGCGCTCACCGTCGACTCCGGAACTCCACCAGAGCGAGCGGCGGTAGCGCAGTTGACAGGGGAGCCGCGGCCATTGATCCCGCGCCATCTGGACCCCAGGTAATTCGATCCAAGATATTCGACTTCAGCTACGCTATTCGCGTAGCTGAAGTTGCGTATCTTGGATCGATCCCCCCCACCTAGTGTAGACCAGCCCTTAGGCACCTAAGGCCTGCTCTACAATTAAAAGTTAGGTCGACATAGTGACGTCAGTCAGGGGCATGAAAACCCCCAGACCAACATAGCTGTGCTGACCTAACTCCTACTATAGATGCAGCTATGTCAACAGAAGAATGCTTCCATCGATGTAGCTACCGTTGTGTGGGGAGGTGTGTTCCTGCACCTACAGAAAACCCTACCATCAGTGGAATGTCATCTGCATTATGGGGTTCTGTTGGCATAGCAATGGCGAGGTAACTATGTCGGTAGAGTCTCCATGGTGTAGACGTACCCTTAATTCAGAGGTTCTCAACCAGGGGTACGTGTACCCAGGGGGTACACAGAGGTCTTCCAGCAGGTAAATCAACGCATCTAGATATTTGCTAGTTTTACAACAGGCTACATAAAAACCACTAGCAAAGTCAATACAAACTAAAATGTCATACAGACAACTACTTATTTATACTGCTCTATATACTATACACTGAAATGCAAGTACAGTATTTATATTCCAACTGATTTATTTTATAATTACATGATAAAAATGAGAAAGTCAGCAATTTTTCAGTAATAGTGTGCTGTGACACTTTTGTATTTTTATGTCTGATTTTGTAAGCAAGTAGCTTTTAAGTGAGATGAAATTTGGGGTACGCAAGACAAACCAGACTCCTGAAAGAGGTACAGTAGTCAGGGAAGAGGTTCTCAATCTTTCCAAACTCCTGAAGGCGTCATTGAAAATCCCCGTCTAAGTTCAGCACCACCCCACACCAATGCACTGTGATTGGCATTTCTGTTGTGTTCAATATGGTGGGATAGGCAAAAAATAAAAAGGGTCTATGATGTAAAGAAACTAATTGTGATGAGATTTCAACTACCGGATAAGAACTTGACCTAGAGGGACATGACTGAAAATGGACAGGTGCAAGTAAAAATTCAGGTTACTAAGTAAAATTAAAAAGAGAAAGGGATGAAATGAGGACACTGAATTTCAGCAGAGTGAGTTTTGGAAGAGGGGGGGGAAACATGGCGATGAGTGAAATTGAATTGGATGAAGCAACAGAGGGAAAGAAGACCGAGGGGAAAGAGGAAAGGTTCAGCGATAAATTAATGTATGCCTAAAGGCTTTGCATGTCATCTAGCATTAAATATAGCTGGAGTTTAAAACAAAAAGCCAATGTGGAGGAACAATGAAATGCAAAGAGTAATTAAGGATAAGAAGCAAATGCAAAGAAACATCAGGTACAGGGGACAGATTACAGAATGAAGGCCAGAGAGTGTGAAAAAAGTGCAGATAATGGCCTGGTGGAGAATCCAAATGAATTGTATCAATAGGCCAAGATAATTTTCAAGAGATTTTTTTCAAGATAAATACAAAGGGAATAAACAGCTATTGGTTATACATATTCTTTAAACGTTGATCCGCTCATTGAGGTATTGTTGTATAACAGCCCCAGTCTTTGCTGCAGTGCTTAATACCAGAGTGAGAAAAGAGGGAATACAGCCTTACCTTGCACTGAAGTATTGACTGAGTTGAAGGAAATGTCTTCACCCACTGGATAAGGCTCTAGAGAATAAGGTGACAACTGCCTGAAAATTTTCACATGTAACGAGACACTACCAAATTATGGGCTCAGTCCTCAGCAGTGCTGAGCTTACACTCAGCATGGCTGAGGAGAGGAGATGGGATGGAAAAGATGGCTCTAAGCCACTTTGCTTCTCTCTCTTGAGCTTGGGTTGAGCTGAGGCCCTAGGTGAAATTTAGAACAGCCTAAAGCAGAGGCCACATCCAGCCCGCAGGACCGTCCTGCCCGGCCCCTGAGCTCCTGGCCCGGGAGGTTCGCCCCCAGCCCCTCCCCGGCTGTCCCCCCTCCCCTGCAGCCGGCGCAATGCAATGCTGTGGGCGGCAGGGCTGTGAGCTCCTGGGGCAGCACAGCTACAGAGCCCGGCCTGATCGGGGTGGTGGTCAAGGGGCGGAGGTGTGGATAGGAGTCGGGGTGGTCAAGGGGGAAACGGGGGTTAAATGGGGGAGGGGTCCCGGGGGGCAGTCAGGAAGGAGGAGGGGTTGGATGGGGCGGCAGGGGGCAGTCAGGGGCAGGGGTCCGGGGGCAGTCAGGGGACAGGGAGAAGGGGTGGTTGGATGGGGCAGGGGTCCCGGCAGGGCCGTCAGGAATGAGAGGAGGGGGTGGATGGGGCAGTGGGGGTCCGGGGGCGGTCAGGGGACAGGGAGCGGAGGTGTGTTGATGGGGCAGGGGTCCCAGAGGGGCCGTCAGGGAACGGGGGGGTTGGATGGGGAAGGAGTCCCAGGGGGGCAGATAGGAGGTGGGGGCCGAGCCACGACCCCCTCCCCTAACCGGCCCTCCATATAATTGATGAAACCCGACGCGGCCCTCAGGCCAAAAAGTTTGCCCATCCCTGGCCTAAAGGCTGCTGTATGTTACACTGGCTGCGTAGGCTCTGGCAGTGCCCCGTGCACTGTGTCCTGCCCTTTTCTGTCTCCTACATGGCGTGAGAGCAAAGCCGGTTATAGAGCCCTGATTGGAGACCTTCCCGTAAGGGAGCTTTGGTTGGAGCCCTAAAACCTTTCTCTGCCCCTGTTTCCTATCTGCTAAGTGGGGATAATATTTAATGTACCTATCTCACAGGGGCTTTGGGAGGCTTAATTAATGAATGTTTATTAAGGGCTTTGATACCGGCAGCTAGAAGAGGTTCTAGAAGTGCTAAATATTATTTATAAAGCTTAGATAAAGAAAAGCTTCTACTAAAATCTGTGTGTCTGGTAAATTTCTAATCAGTGGCGACCACTGGTTCTTATGCACTGGCCCCAAGCTGCCTTGTGCTGCAAACGCTGAAGGGGGACGCCTTCATCTACACCCAAACCGGGTTTTGTTTACTTCTTTTTTGAATGAATGAATAAATGAATGAATGAATGAATGAAAACATTTTTATTAATGGTAAAGTTTTGCAAAAGTGGGCTTTAAACAAAAACGTCAGGCTCCCTAAGCTACCTGATATCGTACCTGTAATCCCAAAAGTGAGAGTGCTCACGGGGTTTCTTAACGAAAGGCCCAATTTTCCAGAAGGACCTAGAGAGATTTATTGATATATGGGGAAAGAATTGCCCCCAGGAATAACAAAAGCAATGACTGTAAACAATTTTGCAAAAGCAAAAAAGCTGCTTACTCTTGGGGCACCTTTAATAGGTTCTGTTTGTTTCATTTCTTTTATTCGTTGGTATTTATATTCTACTTTTAAAACAAATAAAATGTCAGCCCTGCAAAGAATTTCCCGGAAGTATAGTAAAGTGATTTCTAGTTCTAAACTCTTCTACATCCAAAATCATAGATCAGGATTTTCTATTTTTGAATCACCTTGGGCACCCTCTTCCTGTGAAGACTCATTGCTCAACTTAGGGCTGGTCTACACTACGACTTTAATTCGGATTTAGCTGCGTTAATCCGTATTAACCCTTCACCCGTCCACACTACAGAGCCAGTTAATTCGAATTAAAGGGCACTTAAAATCGATTTCTGTACTCCACCTAGACGAGCGGAGTAGCGCCTAAATCGATTTTGTTAATTCGAATTAGGGTTAGTGTGGCCGCACACCACCGAATTACTGTGTTTAAATTAATGGGGTAGTGTGGCCGCACACCACCGAATTAATGTGGTTAAAAACCGAATTAAGGTGCTTAGTGTGGCCGCGCACAATCGAATTTATACAACCTGTTTCCCAAATTCGAATTATCTAAATTCGGATTAATCCCGTAGTGTAGACATACCCTTAGACATTTGCTTAACTTTACATACTGCGAGTAGTCCCAGTGCCTTCAACGGATCCCTCTGCATGCATCAAGATTTGCTTCCCATAGATAAGCACTGTCTGTTGACTTTCTTACGCATATTTGCTTAAGACTGCATTGAGGTGGGAAATGATCCTCTTTAATAAAATAAAAAATCAGTATCCACCGATACCCTCTAGTGGCTGCTAATAGATGTACAGATAAATCAGAGATGTATAGAGAGCTGTGAGTCCTAGAAAGGAAATTCCCAGAATTTATTATGGCTGGGATTTCTAAGACTTGAATTTTCAAAATCTCAGGGATAGATCCTCAGCTGGTGTAAACTGTCTTCGCTCCACTGAAGACAACAAATCCATTGAAGTCAATGGAGCTAAGACGGCTTACTCTAGCTAAGGATCTGTCCCCATGCCTAAAGAGACTGTACTCTGAAAAATAGGGAATTATACCTCTTGTAATACCTTTTGCTGATTGTTTCCCTTGGATCCAAGTGACCTGTTTCAAGGCAACCTACAAAACAGAACCAGGTCAGCTGAGAAGACATTCCAAACAGACAAGAGAATAAGAGAAATAAATAAATGATTTTTTTCCAAAAAGAGGTGAGCTATAACTGTCTTTTCGTTTGCACACCCTTCTTTCTCTTAAACAAATTAGAGAGTCTTCTTGTCCAGGAAAATGCTGTGGGCAATTGCATTTGCTGAGCTGTGGGAAGTCATGGAGTCAAAGGAACAAACTGAATGTGTTCTGGAATGTTGTGCGTGTCTTATTTATATTGACGTTGCTCTTTAAATACTGCAGTACCGTGGCTGTTAATATTCCAGTGAACAAGGATCAACATAAATTGCATTGGGGAGCATTTGTTGCAAGCAAAATGGGACTGTTCTTCATACATTTATTTGATTTGCATAAAGCAACAATCTCAGCTAAACCCCACACATCTGCCAATACCCACCCACCCACTGACTTTCTGAACTCCATCCTTAATGCATAAACCAACGTGTGCATGTGTGTGTGAGAGAGATTTGTTTCAAAACAGTGGCAACAATCATTCCCTTTGTGTAGCATATATCTTAACAAACAAGAAATCTAAGTAAAATACAGTTATGTCATTCAATGCCTTTCTTTTTCCCCCCAGTCTTGTTTCAATGAGCAAAAAAAGACTAGTAACCTTGAGGCCTATGTGAAGTGGTTCAATAGACTCTGCTATCTTGTGGCAACAGAAATTTGCATGGTAAGTGAAAATGTGTGGCAGTGTTTTATCACATGCGTGATGTGCCAGTCTGAGATGGTACATTAATAAGCAATCCCAGGGATATATTTTTCATGACCCAGCTAAGTTGTTCACATACGTTTTAATAACGTGCTCACAGAAGCACCCGCGTAAATTACAAACATGTAGCAAAACAGAGCTGGGGCGGGAGAGAGGGAGGTGGGAAAGGAGGGAGTCTGTTGATGCAGTGAGTAAAAAAACCCCATTCTGTTGAAGCTGTGAGTGTGTAGCAGATGTGGAGTTGTAGAATAATGAACTCTGCAGGAGAAATAACCTGAATGATGCCATGAGAGTCTATTTTTTTTACTCAAAAAGATTCCAGTGGAGAATGAAAAGCAGAAAAATCTTTGTCTTCTGTCTTCTGAATGCTTTTCTGAATGTGTCTAAATCCCAAATGAGCCTGCTCTAATCTTCCATTCATCGAGAAGAGACAAGAACTGCCGTAACCTTCTTTCTCCATTACCCGCTCCTCTTCTTGTCTTCTCCCCATCAAAATTCCTTTTCTCCTTCTCCCTGTCACTTGACCTCTCTCGCCTCCACTCTGACCCCTTCACCTTAACCCCTCTGTCTTTTCTGGCTTATTCCCTGCACAATCCAAGCATGTCCTGGTGTCCCCCAGGCTCAAAAAATGCCCCCTTGACTCACTCCTGTCACTCAAACTACTGCCCCATCTCCCTTCACCCTTTCATCTCTACACTCATTGAACATGCTGTCTACATCTGTCGCCTTGAATCCTCTCCTCTGGCTGCATCCTGGATCTCTGCTGATCTGACTCTGCCCTCTCCACTCTCCTGCATCTGCTCTTACCATGGTCTCCAATGTCCTCCTCCTGGACAGATCTCGTATGTCTTTTACTCCATCTGCATCTTCTTTGACCTCTTTTCTGCCTTTGAATCTGTAAATCAGACTTCCCTTCCTGCAATCTTGGCCTGCCTTGGCTTTTGTGATCCTGTCTTGGTTCCCCTCCTCCCTCTCTGGCTGTTCGTGCTGCATCTCTTTTGGTAGGTGGCTCACCACCTCATTCTCCATGAAAATCTCACCAGAATCTCTCCTAGGACCTTTCCTCTTCCGTCTCAGTGCCCTGTCTCTGGGCAATCTCATCCCAGTACAAAACTGAAGAGGAACTGAACGACAATGACCATCAGCGCCATGGCTCAAAGTTATCTTTGTGTCATTGTTTGGGCCTTTCACTTGGTTCTTTCATGCACTGCCTATGACTGCACATGTAATCTATATTTAATGCTCATTTAAAGTATTTTTATTATCAATATTATTTAATTTGGATTCTGTAAATCACACAAATGTTTTACCTGTTTTAAAAATGTGGAGGATGCGTTGTGGAGGGAAGGGGAAGGGAACGCGGAACCTTTCACCCCAGGGTTGACAGATTGAGTTGTTGGTGACTGAACATTGTTACCATCTGCTGACCGTTTGGTGACCTAGTTGAAAAGAATAGGGTGATCTCAATCTAGTTACCAGTAGACCTGGGTCTCTAAACCCACAACCACCATCCAAATTAACTCGGATTGGCATGCTCGTGAAAAGTCTCAATAGAAAGGCCAAACTGAATGACCCGTGGACGCTTGTCTCCTCCTTGGATGTAGTTCTTCCAAGTCAGGGCTGAGGCAAGTGCTCAGATACTGTGGTGATGAGTGTGATATGAAACCGAGACAGACGAGAGGAAAAACAGACAGACAGAAATTAGCAGGCAGATTTTGGGGTAGCTTGCACTGTTCTTGTCAGTGCTATTTCATCTGGGGTTCACTCCCCACTTCTGTTACTTTTTCATCAGCAGTAAATTTACTTTCAGGACAGGAGAAAGGGTTTTTTAAATACATTATGAGACAAAGCCTCCATAGAATGAAGGTGCGGTTGTTGTATAGTGGCGAAATCCTGGCCTCACTGAAGTCAATGGCGAAACTCCCAGAGATTTCAGTGGGGCCAGGTGTCTATTAATTTTTTTACCTTGTAGCTTTAGAGCTATTTGGACAGTTTATCTCTGCAGTCAGTAGTCTCTAGAGGCTGGCTTTCTGCTTCACTGCCAGGTCAATGGTTGAATGAGCCGTTAAAGGGTTTTGGCCCCATGAAAGCTTTGATTCAGGAGACTGCCAGTCACAAATGTCATTAGTCATAGAATCATAGAATACCAGGGTTGGAAGGGACCTCAGGAGGTCATCTAGTCCAACCCCCTGCTCAAAGCAGGTCCAATCCCCAGACAGATATTTGCCCCAGATCTCTAAATGGCTCCCTCAAGGATTGAACTCACAACTCTGGGTTTAGCAGGCCAATGCTCAAACCACTGAGCTGTCCCTCCCCCCCAATCAGTCAATCAAACGGCTGTACAAAATTAGGCAATAGCTGGGCTTTTTTTAAAAAAACTCAGCTGATAGAGCTGTAAAGTTAGGATTTTCCTGGGTAGGGCACCAAAGCCTGTTTTGCATGTGCTTGTCGCGACTATTTATTTATTTAATCTGCAGCCTGCGAAAAAGAAACAGCGAGCACAAGTCATAGAGTTCTTCATTGATGTTGCCCGAGAGTGCTTTAACATCGGGAATTTTAATTCGCTGATGGCAATCATATGTAAGTATGGGAGATGCTTCAAAATAGAATTTTTCTCTTTGTCATAATGGCTGTAAAAAGCACATCTCACTCCTAAGTGTTTTCCCCCGCTTCTTATTTCCTCCTAGCTGGAATGAACATGAGTCCCGTCTCCAGATTAAAGAAGACCTGGTCAAAAGTGAAAACAGCCAAATTTTTTATTCTCGAGGTAAAAAAAGAAGCTTCGTTATTTGTATTACTCAAATGTATTCAGGTGCACAATACTAAGTAGAGCAGTGGTTCTCAACCAGTGGTCCGAGGCCCCCCAAGCAGGTTTCAGGGAGTCTGCCAAGCAGAACCAGTGTTAGACTTGCATGGGGCTGAAGCCTGAGCCCGGAGCCTCGCTGCCTGAGGCTGAAGTGTGGTCCATGAGCAACTTAGCTTCACAGGGCCCCCTGTGGCATGGGGCCCAGGGCAGTTGCCCTGCTTGCTAGCCCTTAATGCCGGCCCTGGCTTTTATATGCAGAAAACCAGTTATTGTGGCACAGGTGGGCCGTGGAGTTTGGGGGGGCCTCCGAAAGAAAAAGGTTGAGAACCTCTGAAGGAGAGGATCTTCATAGACTAGGGTTCAAAATCTCTCTGGAGAGGCACGTGCGAGCAGAAATGTACCAACAGAAGGTGTAAAACAACTATCATGCAGAGAGCAGCTGGAGCACCTGAATTCTGCCTCCATTCACCAGGGCAGAGTAGGGAGGCGTGAATGGAATGTGCCAAAAAGTGGGTGTAATCGGCATGAACTCCTCTATAAAGGATCATTCATGAGCCTGCTCTTGCTCTCAGTGAAGTCAGTGGCAAAACTCCCACTGCACGATAGTGCCGCAGTGCTCTGTGTACGGCACCCAAGCGAATCACTCCACCTCAGAGGTGGCGAAAGCAAGGCACATAGGGACACGTAGCTTTTGTGGGGGGCCGTTACAGTGTTCTATGGAGACGTGCCAGCGCATTACTGCAGGGGATTCACCCTGATGCCAGCCAGATTTAGCCTAAGATAAACGGTGCATAATTTTGCACCACCTATTCAGGCATTCATCATTTTTTTTTCCATTGGGAAGCAAGAATTTGGCCTGATATCTATATAATATGTACAATGGTGCTGTGATATCTACCCCATATATGCCAACTTGTTCAAATAAAATTGTGCTGATTTTAATATAAAAATCAAAGATACAAACAACCACAATCTATACATGTAGGTTTTTAGCTGTTTCCATGGCCAGCACTTATAGGGAATTAGGTAGAATTATGTATCTCCTGAGGATATAGGTGTGGCCTCTGCCCACGACTTTGGAACAACCAAGGAAAGACTGTTCTTAGAGAATCCATCTCAGGTTTTACGCTGAGCCCCTACCGAATGGACTGACTGGATTTGGGGAGTTCATTCAGTGCTAGCTGAGCTCTCCCACACTGCCACATTATGATGATCTCTATTAATCTAAAATCACGTCTGGATGCCTTGGTAAATAAGCATTAAGCCAGATAAATGTGACAAGAAAATGACGACGAGTTGTCCATCCCTAGACCGTACATATTCAGATCTCCATTTCTGCAACTTGGTTTTAAATTCTGATGAGAAAAAAGAATCCAAGTCCTTTCTGATCAAATACACGGCAATTGTCTCATTTTGCACCTAGCATCAGATGGACCCTACTGGTAATTTTTATAACTACAGAACTGCGTTGCGAGGGGCTGCCCACCGATCCCTCACTGCACACAGCAACAGGGAGAAGGTAGGTCTGTCCCCGTCTTGTGGTCTTGTTTATTTCTGAATGGATGGGGGATGATTAAAGCTGGTGGTGAATCACTGGAATTTGCAGTGTGCACTTCGGGTGAACCCCACCATCACCACCAGCACAAGTCTTATGTACCACTTAAATCCCACTTCAAACCTCAAAATAGTACTTAAGTGAATCTGCAGTGGTCCATAGGTCTTTTGCTGCCCCTTCTGCCTGATCATTACATACATCTCCACATCCCTTGAAAATTCACTTAGGGCTTGTCTGCAGAGGGAAACTGACCAGCTTTGAAGCGGCGTTAACTATTCCAGAATAAAGGGTCCACGTGGGGGAGTTATACCTGTGCAGCTACAGTGCAATAGTTATTCTGCTCTAGCTAGACCAGTCAGTTTCCCTGTGTAGACAAGCCCGTCTTGTGTAGTGGCTGATTTGAGACGGTGAGCAAAAGGTGCTGCTACTCAGAGATGACTGAATGGCACTTAGTTAACAGTAGGTGACCCTGACTTGCCCAAAGCACTGTTGGCAAGTCTGACACTTACAGCAAACCTGGGGCCTAATTCTACCCTCAGATACCCAGATTTAACTCAAAAAGAACAGGAGTACTTGTGGCTCCCACTGCACTAAGTGAGAGCTGCCCCCTGGTATCTAAGACCAGATTTCCTGTGCTGAAAGAAAAGGATGGAAGGTTTCCCAAATTTTAAATCAAACTGAATCAAAGAGAATCCCGCCAAGTTTTTAATGCTCAATGTGCATTTGCCAGAGGAAGATGCATTTGAATAACACATTCCTTGTTTGTGAGTGAATGAAACTTGAAGATAATTAAATATGAGTGCATTGTGATTTCAGAATTATTTTCTTCTTATCACCTCTTTTCAGCTATGATTATATCTGTTATGAGTGTTATGAGCTCCATTGTATTTCTTCTGGTTTTCTTTGTTTTTCCCCATTCACTCTAATTTTTATTTTGTTAAAACAGTTTTTAAAAAATGTTGTGATAGCACATTGTTATAAATAGAGAGAAACTCTCTGGGTGCAGCGAAGCAGATGCTGCATTCATAAGCATAATGTGAAATTGAATATTCATTGTTAGAGGAACTGGGCTAGATTCCGATCTCACATCTGTGCAAATCTGATGTAACTGCACTGAAGCCAGTGGAGTTGCACAAGGTTTACCCTGAAATGAGGTCGGAATCTGGTCCACGGGCTGCAATTGTTGTAAGGGAAATATGCAGAGTTGTTCTGAAAAGCAATACCCTGCTGTGGGATGAGCTGATGAATTGGATATTAATGAAGAGTAGAGAAATTCCTTGAACAAGCTCACACATGCTTCATCTAGAACCTGACATTTTGAGATGCTTATGCAATCTATTCCTCTGGTGACAATCATATATATTCAAGCCTGCTGTTTTATTACTTTACCTTAATTCCTGTGGAAATTCTCTGCCACATCCCTATCTATGCCTAGTTAAGACCAAGCACAATGAGGTTAGTAGATTGATAGGAATCTATATTACTTGAGGAAAAAACCCACCTTCTCTTTTCTTTGTGCACATAACATATTAGCCTAAGAAAATGTTCATGCATAAGGCTCAGTGGCTTAGCATTGCTGGGTACATTAAAATCCCAGATATGTCACAGCACAAATTTAGACCCCAGATCTTCCTAATTTCATTCCTTGTTATAAGCGAGGTACCTGGTCAAGGTATTTGGTTGTATTGTCATTGGATAAAATTCAGCAGAATGTGATCGCAGCCCATGGAAAGTGTTATAGGGTTTTCTGTCAGTCTTTTAGCAAAGCTCACCTCTTGGAACCTCAGAAACCAATTTGTTTTCAAATTGGACTATGTTTATAATGTTTTTTCCCAATCATTGCAGAATAAGTATGTTTACTGCTCTAGGCTGTGTATAGAACCTCTGTTTGGGAGCAGTGGGCAAAAAATGATACATTCTGGAGGGCGCTAGATAAACAACGTCAATAGCCAAAGTGTTCCTAGATAAATAGGTCCTGGCATCAGGGCGCAGAGAGGTTTTGAGGAGGGTTTAAAAAGGAAAGGTTTATGAATTTTGATGGACAGTTTGTCCGATGAATAGCAGATGGCATGGGAGAAAGCGCAGAGGAGACTGAGGGACAAGAGAGTGGCATCACTGGGAGAGAGAAGACGGGGAGTTGACAGTTTGATACGTTAGTAGGTTTGATAGACAACGTGGGGCTCGCTGGTGAAGGGTCTTAAAGGCAAAGCAACAGAGATTGATGCATTGGAGAAGAAGCCAGTGAAGGTATTCAGAGAGAAGAGCGATGTCTGCTCTGACCACGTCACCTGGGGTTGGACAGGATGAGCTGAGTCCATATACAAGCCAATCATCAATAATCCTCTTTTCTCCCTTTTATAGTCACCGATTCCTACATTATCCACTGTATCTTATTTGCCTTCTTTATACAAATGGTCTCATTGCCTTGTCCAGGATGTGGTCCTACCTAGACACCTTTGCATTGGATTAGTTGTCTAAAAAACATTAATTCTGGGAGTGATTTAAGAAATAATAAAATCCCTACAATCTGGACTTTGAGTTACATGATCTGTTGAGTTTGGGATTTAGTTTGTAGCCTTATTCTTTGCTGAATGTCAAGTGATGAATGAAAGGTTGACACTAAGTCAGAAGGTAGATTTTCAGAGCTGAGCATTTGAGATGAATAACTTAGATCCTTAATTGAATGCCTGATTTGACTTGCAGATACTCAGGATGTCTGAGCAGCCGCGTGAGCTGCTCACGATCGAGTGCATACTTGCCGTGCATTCCAAAAGAGCGCTGGCAAAAAGCAGAAATGAGCCGCAAAGAACGTGACGTGGGGCAGCAGCTACTATTGACGGGCCTGGCCACTAATTTTTTTCTGTTGCAGCTTTGAAAATGTGAGGCAAAATCCTGTCCTTGCTAACATGCCCTGTGGAAACAGCAATAGCAGCTGAGCAGGAGGTCCAGGGCACATTCAGACCATACCCCATGTTAGCCAGTCCTCCAGCTAGCTTGCTAGGGAACGGTAGATAGGAGCACTGCCCAGCTATGGCATGAGTGTGGCTGCCTCCTGCACCCTTGTAATACAGAGGCACAAGTTTGCAAGATGAGGCAGGATCTGGGCCGTGCTTACTGTTTTTCCAGGTCATTGTGTTCTCCGTGTCATTTGTGCCAAAGATAAATAAAACCACTGTGAAAGGGATAGTGACCAACTGCCTGCTGGGATAGGCTACCATGGATTCTGCCTTGTTTGGAGTGGTTTCCAATTTTCTGGCATTTTCGCTTGTTCCTGCTTTGCGATCAGTGCATGGGATGGCTCTCTAGCGTCTCCCTCTGACTTTACCTAGGTGTATGGAATATCTTTGGCTGTTCTGTCTGTCTTAGGTATGTCTCTGGCCCCCAGAACCAGAGTATCTGAGCACCTCACAGCCTTTAATGTCTTTCTCCTCACAACATCCCGGGGAGGCGGGGCAATGCTATTATCCTCATTTTATGGGTGGGGAATGGAGGCACACAAAGACGAAGCGACTTGCCCAAGGTCGCACCGGAAGCTTGTGGCTGGGCCAAGAACTGAACGTGCGGCTCCCCAGACTCCATCGGTGCCGTGCTTTTTCTTTTTTTTTTTTAGCACTGTATTTTTCTTCTCTTGTCTCCTCCACGTAGTTAGACAGAAGTGAAGCTAGAGGGCCCAATGGAGTGAGATGGGAGTGAGATGGGATGCAGCTTGGCCATGGTTGGGGGAGGCACTCTACTGCTGAAGGCATGGACGCTGCCCAGCCTCCAGCCCAGCTAACCAGGACCCTTTGGTGCTAGCACCATCCGGCGTGCTGGCATCGCCCCTTACCTTGCTTTCAGGGCGTGCTAGTGTCAGCATTCTGCCTGGCTCTCGTATGTGTGTAGTGAGGGAAAGGTGCTTCCTGCACCCTATTGCTTCCATCCTCTCAGCGCACCCATGGAGGCTCAATCTGGAAGTTAGCCCAGAGTCTCTTGTTACATTGATCCAGCTATCTTCTCCCTGCATAAATGGTTTATTTAGAGTATTTTGTATTTGCTTAGGAATGAGTAGGCTTTAAATAAATGTATGCTAATGCGGCCCTTCAAACCGTGACACGAGACAGTGGCTAATTTCAGAGTTAATAGAAATAAGCCCCCCACAGGGTAGAGGGACAGATCACGTGACAATAAAGGGTTTGTATTCTGTGCAGAGTTCAAAGGAGCATGTTTGTGAGAAATTAACTCCGCTTTCATGTATGCGGTCAGCTGACCTGTGTCCTCCCCAGAGTTAAGTCATTCCACAGGGAATCACCATTTTGCGTTAATGATGTTTGTCTAAATTGCTTTGAAATGTTGGACTCTGTACAGCGTAATGCTGTGTACGTTGTTGCTATCTGATACCACCGGGAAGTGCTTGTCTGATTTCATTAACTTGGTTCCTTCTGAAGGAAGCGATTGTCTTTCTCCCTCTCTGTGGGCGTGTGAGTGGATTGGATGGTTTGGGGGGAATCAAAAGGGAATGAAATGTGAATTTCTGGCTCTAGCCCAAGGTCTGTGCTAGTTAAGTGGCTGGATAATAGCCCGCCTTACAAATATAACTCTCTAGTGTATCTGCTTTCAGTACAGAGATTCTGAAACTAAAACACACAGGGTGATATACTCTTATTGGGGACATTTATTGGGGGTTTTCGGTCTTTGAGCAACCATTAAAATCCTATGTGAAGAGAACTAGTGATCTTGGTCACTTCTGGATGGTGATCTAAGTGACTCACTTCAATTTCTAGTGGACACGTTTCCACATCACAAAAAGACTGTCACAACTGTCATGAAGTGGTAGCCTCAGCAGACTTGCCCTAGACTGAATAACTCTCTTTCCCTCAGGGCTGCTCCCCGTAGGGAAGGCTTCAGGTTCATTAGCCAGCCATGGGACCAATCCTAAAAGCACCGTCAACTCGCAATTGATTGGCACTTCGTAGGATCAGGTCCAATGTGTTGGAGTTTTCAGTGTGCCCTTTCCCATACTGTATCCATTCTATGATTCGATATAGTACTGGAGTCTCCAGGAAGACCAGTCTGGCCTTCCTTTGGGAGCACTACATTTACATTCAAGAAATCCTCAATAACCTTCACAGAAAGAAACTCGCGGGAACGCATCCCTTCATCAGCTCACTCGATGCAATACCTCAGTTGGACCAGAAAGTGGTTTCTGTTTTTATAACAAGAGCAGCATTCTGGTTTTGGGAGTCCTTGCTTACATTTCCTTTTTAGTATCTATCAAGTGCTTGCACTCCCTATTGGTACATTGTGAAGGCTGTAGACTGGAAAATCACTGGTGACATTCTACCCTAGTTCCACTTCAGATACCACTTCAGCTGCTGTTCAGCATGAGACTGAATAATACTTAGCTAAATGATTGCTTCATTGTCATCAATTCCCATAGCTTTGCATTTCCTCAAAGCTATTATACTTTCACTTAAGATATAGTTCAGCTCATTTACTAATTGGCCAGTAGATCCACTTGGATACTGAAACCCACATGGCGCGTTCTTATGTCCATTCACGGTGATCAAGCCCATACTCAGCTACTTAAATTGCAGACGTGGCGGCTACAAAGATGCTCACAAGGTTAGTACTGACTCACTGGACCAAGCCCTTTGAGTGGCCTTTCCCTAGTATGGCCCACCCGCACAACAAGAGTGAAGACACAATCTTGGGCTCTGGTACTGATGTCCTTGCTGAAAAGATGCTCCGTCACTGGCTGGTCTGCCCCATAGCTCTCAGCATTTGGGTTTGGCCCTGGTGTCATGAGAGCTCCTTACCCCACCTTGAGATAGGCCCACTGTAGTCTATAACCTTACCAGGATGCTCAAGGCTTCAGGACCCTATTCCTAAATCCAACTTTAGAATTTGTAAGGCCAAATTCTTCTGTAACCTAACTCCACTGAGTTCAGAAGATTTACACTAAAGTGGAATTAGGCCCCTACTATACAAAATAAAGCTAGATGATAGTGTATCATATTGGTTAGAGGGAAGGCTTTGGATCTGAGTGTGTCTTCCAGTTTGCCCCAGATGATCCCCAGTGCTTGTTTTGAGTGCTCAAAGGCTTCTCTGATTACTACCAACATTTCTTGGTGTACCAAGTGTTTAATTTCAGTATTCCCTAGGATAGCCCTTACTGAGCCTTCGCAGGAGTGTCTCTGACTTTTCATCTTCATTTCCACCAAACCAGGAATAAAACAAACACCTTTCTTTCTCCAACTCTCTTCACTGCCTCCTTTTTCCACATGGCCTTGATAAAATTGGTGCCAGACCAGTCCTTTTGCCTTTTAGTCTATAGCTTTTCATACCAGCGTCTTTAGGAGGAATTAGTGTTGCCCCCAGAGTCCATGACATTTTGTGATGCTGACAGATTATGGGCTAAACCAGTGGCTCTCAACCTTTCCAGACTACTGTGCAGGAGTCTGATTTTTCTTGTGGACACCCACGTTTCACCTCACTTGAAAACTACTTGCTTACAAAATCAGACATAAAAATACAAATGTGTCACAGCACAATATTACTGAAAAATTGCTGACTTTCTCATTTTTACCACAGAATATAAATATTGTACTTACATTTCAGTGTATAGTATATAGAGCAGTATAAACAAGTCATTGTCGGCATGAAAATTTAGTTTGTACTGACTTCACTAGTGCTTTTTATGTAGCCTGTTGTAAAACTAGGCAAATATCTAGATGAGTTGATGTATTGTCTGGAAGACCTCTGTGTAGCCCCAGGGTACACATACCCCCGGTTGAGAACCACTGGTCTAAACACTACTTTTCTCCAATCAGGAGAAGTAAAGTGGAAGCCATAATTTTGCTGGTTGTGGATCACATCCTCAGCCAGTATAAATCCACATTACTCCATTGGAAGTCAGTGGAGCGATACTGATCTAGGCCATCTGAAGACCTGGCCCTGTGTCATTAGTCGCAAAGCATTTTACCAAAGGTTCAGTGTAAATCACCCTGTTTCGTCTGAGTCATTAGAACTTCTGCTTTTCAGATTAGAGTTTTGGCCCCTTTTGGGCTTATCTACACAGGAACGTGGCACTCTTACTCTGAAATAAGAGTGTCCACACCTGGAATTATTCAGGAGAATAACTCCATGCAGAGACACACCCTGAGTCACAAGATTTTATTATTCCATGTTTGTTTATTTTGGTGTGATTGTTAGCATAACTGCATCTGTAGCAAGGGTTCTCCATCCTCATTGTATTCTTTGGCTCCTGGCTATCTTTAAATTGTTGTCAGTGAATCCATTGGCTTATAAAACAACTCTGTAGACAAAAGAGTCTTATCTTTGCTCAGGAAAGTGATGCCACTGAAATATTAAGAAGGAATCGGAGACTAGTTGTAATTATTGCTTCATTTTGTGCCCATAGTGCCCACAGATTGTTCATTTCAATGGTGCAACCATCCCCCAAATCATTGAAAATACCTTTGTACCCTCCTTCCCTGGTGCTTGGCTATCATTGTATTGCTTTATAATAGAACAGTACATTGGGAAGTTAATCTTTTTCCCCCCTTCTGACTGAACTTTTCTTTCCTGCAGTGAAAATATGGAGCCACAGAGATAATCGTTGTGTCATTCCCTTCACAGATTGTGATCCCTTTCTTCAGCCTATTGATCAAAGACATTTACTTTTTGAATGAAGGATGTGCTAATCGCCTTCCGAATGGGCACGTCAACTTTGAAGTAAGATCTGCAAATGTCTTTATCTACTCCATCCTGATAGCACTATCTGAGACCATTTGCACACGTTTCAGTGCAGTCCGACAAAGACTAGATCCTACAAAAGGGATGACCTTGTGTGACCCTCCTTGAAGGTCAAACCAATCCCAGGATTCCCTTAAAAAGAATTCATATAGAGAGAGAAAAACATTCCATTCAGAGATCAAAAAACCAAGGAGTTTCTAATGCCAAATGAGTGGCAGATCCTAACTTGTGTCCTGTGGGTTAGCTGGTATCAGCAGCATAATTGATTATACAAACAGCCTCGAAGGAAAGGGGAATTTTTCAAAGACAAAGGAGAAGTATATTTATCATATATTCATAGATAAGCAAGGCAATGTACAGTACCTGATACTTTTGTATACAAGTACTGTAGCGTTTTCTCATTTGATAGGTTAAGAAAAGAGGGAGATTTGCCAAAGCAGGTTTTAACAGGGTGGCTTGCCCCCTTAAGGGATAGAGGCCTGGGGCCAGACGCCCATAGTTATGAAGTAGGCACACCTGGGCAGGGATCAGTGGGTGTTTAAGAGACAATCAGAGGAAGCTGGGGCCAAGAGTGCACAGGAGCTGCTGTGAGCAGGAATCTCCCGCAGGACACCCTGGACCAGGGAGCAGGGTTTGGACTTGGAAGCCAGAGCCAGAGGGCTGAAGAAGGCTGAGAGCCAGAGAGAACAGACTCCATGGGTGTAAGAAGGAGAAGACTCCAGCCAGGTAGGGCCTGGGAGTGGCCTGCCAAAGCAGGAGAGGCTCCTGGTTCAGGTTGCCAACCCTCTAGGATTGTCCTGGAGTCTCCAGGAATTAAAGATGAATCTTTAATTAAAGATTATATCATGTGATGAAACCTCCAGGAATACATCCAACCAAAATCGGCAACCCTACCCCTGGGTAGGAAGGCCTGGGAGTCGGAAGAGAAACTTTATTTGTGCCTCTAGCCTGCCTCGTGCATAATAAAAAGCCCTACCCTTACAAGCCAATGAGCTGCAGTAGCCGGGGGAGGGAGAGTCTCTCTCTCTCTCTCTCTCTCTCGCTTGTTGGCGCACACATATACTCAGCCCCGCCTCCCCAACGATGACCACACAGGCACGCACGCCCAGCCCCACCCCCCTCCCCGTCTCTGAGGCTGCTCCAGGCATGCTGGAATTGACGTGCTGCCTGGGCTATCGGGGAAGAGGCACGTATCTCCCGGCAGATTTTTTTTTGCCTGTGGGGGCACAGAAAACTGCAGGCCATATGAATTCTGCGCCCCTGCATCAGTGCCGAATCTCCCCAGGATTAAACTTTTGTGTGTGTGGACTTTTGTTGGACTTTAACTTGGGACTTGGAGTTTTATTTTGAGATTATTTTATGTTAATAAACTCAGACCCAAGGAGGAGTGGCTTTGCCACAAAAAGCCTGTGTGGAGTGTATTTAAGGAGCCCTTTGAAGAGGGGGAAACTGAGGCAGGGGCCTGCACCACAACCTCAGGCCACAAAGGGGAGCTTGGGAGGTGGCATACCCTGTTACAATGCTGTCAACCAATTGAAAACGTTATGTAAATGTAAGAATACAGCTTGAACTCTATAAGGCCTCATCTATAGTCACCATGTTAATCAGGTAAATCACACACATTTGGCCTGGGATTAAAACTCATGATCTTCTGCTTGGAAGCCTTTACTGATTACACAACAGGAGAATTTGCATTAACCACCATTATACACAGTAGAAAGACATGTCCTCTCTGTAGGCCAGACACCAGATGATAGTAGTCACAAATAGTTAACTTGAGAGCCAAGGTGGGTGAGGTAATAAGGAACTCCCAGGATCACAGCTAAATACAAGGTGGACCAGATTGTTCAGCATAAGTAGTTAGCACATATTGTAAGGGACCATTTAAGATAGAATAGCCCCCTAACACCTCTGCAGTCATAAAACAAGAAGAGGGGTTTAGTTGTAGCAAGGCATAAATCCAGTGTCTCTGCTCAGTCCATTTTGCTATGACACAGAGTTCCTTTCCCAGACTTGAAGTGCTCTGTTTGGCTTGAAAGCTTGTCTTTCCCACCAACAGAAGTTGGTCCAGTAAAAGATATTACCTCACTCTATATCATGGGACCAACACAGCTACAACTACACTGCAGATAAATAGTTGAGTAATTCTGAGTCCATACACTAGAGGGTGGTGTTGCACTAATGTGACAGGATGCTGAATGCAATGTGCATGCATTCCACTTTTTAATATTGCCTTATGCATCACCCCTGCTGTATTCTTGAACTTCTGTGAAAATGCAGAGACGAAGCAGCTTCTGTACAATTGCCCTTGTATAAATAAGAAGAAAATTTGCTCCATCAACTCTCAAGTGCTCTCTGAATCTCATCTGAAAACATCTTTTCTCTTTTGCTTCCTACTCTAAGTTTCTGCCTTCCTTAGAGGCATTGTGGCAGAAGGCTTTCACCACACAGTGAGCCAAGCCTGTTGCTTGTGAGTGTCGAGTGGTGCTTAAGGTGTTGTAAGTTAGAGCCTGACTGTAAGAGGGCCTCTCTCTTCACTACAAGGTAGTGATGTGACCCCCCTGCTCGCAAACACATACTCACAGTAGCTTGTGAGGACTAGCACAAGTATAGAGAGTAGCGTAGCCATGGTAGCGTGGCTAAGCTGCGCTGAGTACATACCCACCGTTTTCAGCAGTGTTTGTACTTGGCCACTGCCCATGCCTTCACAGCTACACTAGCTCTCCTCGAGCGTCTGTGAGGATGTGAATGCACGCAGGGGGATTACACTCCTAGCTTGCAATGTAGACACAGCTTAACTCAGAACACCGTAGGCATCCTTGTGCCTTGGTGGAACAGGTGTAAGGGGTGGGAGGTCTACTTTACATCATCTCACACACGCCACTTTTGATACAATGCATTTGTCACGTCTATCATATATTGCATGAATATTATATGATATATTCCTGTAAAGCATTTTGTACGAAGCTGTATTCTAAACGCTGAGATGTAATAAACTTGGGACACATCCCAGAATGGCACTGAGTTTTATGCCATCCGTTCTTGAGCAAACCTTATGCATGGAAACGGTAAACTGTTTATTTCTACTTGAGAGTAGAGCAGGATTTCATGTGAAGATGGAATGTAGGATACCCCAGCCCTGCTTCTTCCCCTTTCAGCACAGTATGGAAACCAAGGGGAAGTCTTATTGAGAAAATGCTCCCTTCTGAATTTCATGGGGTTCCTTTGCAAATGCATATCCGTGCAGTTTGCTTTAGGAAATCTGCAGCCTCTGCCCAGATGTGATCCTTTCAGTGATGTGATGTTCTTGTACTAAATGGACTTTATAATATTTGCAGAAATTCCTGGAACTGGCTAAACAAGTAGGCGAGTTTATAACATGGAAGCAAGTGGAATGCCCATTTGAACAAGACCATAACATCATCCACTACTTGCATACAGCCCCCATCTTTACTGAGGATGGTAAGAAATCCCTAAATATTTTTTAACCATTCAAAATAATATAAATGTGACTGTTTCTCCATCACCACTGATAAAACCCTTATTCGTGCTCTGGTGATCTCTCACTTTGACCACTGTAAGCTGCTCCTTTTTAGCCTTCCTGCCTCTTAACTTGCTCATCACCACTCTATCCAGCGTGCTACTGTGAAAATGACCTTCTGGCCCATTAAGTCATTGTTGTGCCACTTTTCCACCACGTCTCCGCCAGGCATCCTATAGTAAGTCACTGCGATGGTACTGCACCTCTAACCAAGGAATGAGGCTATGCAACCACAACAGGGACGATCATGAATGTCAGTCACCCTCTAGCCAAAAGCAGTTCTGGGACTGAAGTCAGGGCTACCTTTCCCTACCAATCAACAATTTCAGCTCTCCAATCAGAAGTTCTCCAAAGCCCCAGGCTATGGGAGTCCAACTCACGTCCCTCACTCCAATGAGGAAACACTTTATTTTTTTAAAGTATTTTAAGACAAATCTTCCATAGTAATTACTTTAAAATATGATCCGATTCCTGTTCTGAAATTAGTCCCTGTCCCATCTGTGTTCCCCATCTCCTCTCTTACCCCCTCCAATTTGGGGTCTAGCTTGTCACACAGTTTCATTTCATACGGGATTATTTCAGTTGCATCCTGTTACATCATGTCAGACATATCAAGTGACAGCAGCTACATTCCCATAAACTAGGCTGCATTTGAGTTTATTTTTCCTTTTGATTCTATGGGCAGTTTTCTACAGCCATCCAAGTTAATCACACCAGACAGTTGTTACTTCATAGGCCACATCAGAAGTCAAAATACAGCTAGGAAAATTAAGCTCCAATCCCAAGAGGAATGACTGCCAAAAAGGAATAATTAAAGTGATTAAAGCAATATGTATGGAAAGGAGAGGGAATGGGGGCTTCAGGTGGTGCTTAGGGTACTATGTGTAGGGGAGTGGGGGTTGTAGATCTCTCAAAAGGGCTGCTTTCAGGCTGCATGGTGACCTCAACTCCCTAATTGCTTGCAGACCCTCTCCCCCACATAAAGGGTCATATTCATGCCGGCTTCATGAGATGCCCTCAGTAGAAGCCAGGCTACAGGTGGCCTCCCCTACTGCCAAAGGTAAAGTGCAGTGCAGAAAGACCCGCCATGAGTAAAAGAGAGACAGCGCTGACCGGTCAAATAAAACAAATAAGCTCTCCGTGCCACAATACAGAGTAATAGTGGGCTAACTCTTGAATATTAAAACGTTACTGAATTATATCACAGAATAAAATACAAAGGTGACTGTGGCATTACAGAATAAAGCATCACTAACGGGTGTAATGCGAAAGTGTCCATGAATACAAATTATGACCTACTTATAAAAGTCCATAAAGCAAGCTAGATGGTAATGCACTAACAGCTCACACAGATGGAATCTTTAATGCGTACCCTTATTTTTGCACTATAAAATGCATCCTGTAGTTCAGGGTTCTTCAAAAAAAGGTCTATTAACTTAGATCAGTTTATACGATTATGTATGTCATGAGGGTGTCATTTCTGCATGGCGTTTTCTCACTCTGGCTGCTGGACTTTCATTCTTACCTAGTGTGCTATTTGTTTAACATGCCTTGTCTCTTAAGGAATTTGAAGAGGTTGCAGATGAAAATGGGGGGAGGCGGGGGGATTAAATTCAGTGTTAAATTATGTGAACTTAATTTAATGTAGAAGACTGGGGATTTGTCTCTTCAGTTGTCAATCCTTGATTTTTTACTTTTTGATAACGCATTGGGGGCAGGTTTTCAAAGGCACAAATGGGATCTTGGCACCCCGGGCTTTCGGTGAGAGTTAGGCACTTCACTGCCCTTGGATTTTTAAAAACATTCTGTTTATTGTGTGGGACAGTAGTGACAACAGATGAGGAAGATAACATGTACCAGCAAAACTCACAGGGAATGACTGTAGTTTGGGGAGGCAAAGGGATTTGGGGTTCCTGATGATATTTGACTAACAATTTTTTATTAGGTTTGTATCTGGCTTCCTATGAAAGTGAAAGTCCGGAGAACCAAATTGAAAAAGAGAGATGGAAATCCTTGAGGTAAGAGTTCAGTTTATAAAACCATAATTACAATACATGCACTCCGTTGATAGTCAAGAATTAAACTTGACTGAAGTTTGAAAATTTCTTAATGGAACTGGCATCAAAAATGTTGTCTTGTTGATTGTGCTGAAGGTGTTCTCAGCTTAAGGCTCTAGTCTGCAAAGCTGTAACTGGACTGATAAAACAATGGTCCTAATATAAATTATACATTGTAAATAAAAAGTGCCCAGTTCTTATTTACACTGCTCTGGCTGTGTAAAGGTGCCTGGGAGTAGATGTAAAACACTGCCAGAGTGTCATTTATATCCACTTTAAGGCTCTTTTATACTGCCGGACCAATGTAAACGGGCTTTAGTGTCAATGAAAATAAAGCCTCACAAATAATACTGAATGAGCCAAAACCAAAAAGCACTGATTATGCATGCTTCTTTGTTTCATCTTCATCATTATAATGTTCCAAATTTGCAGGTCTACTATTTTGGGAAAGACTTGAAGACTCAGATTATTGCAGTACGACAAGAAAAAAAATCAGCAAAAATATTTTGCACTACTGATTCCAAAGATGCCTATTTGGGATTTAGTTTTCCTTTTTCTTCCTTTTTATTTTTGGACTGCTTAATGTGATGAACTGGATTCATCCATTGAAATTAACAGAATTGACTTACAGTATGCACAATTATGCTTTTCTAATTACTCAAGAGAGGAAGGACAACAGATTATTTGTGGCCATACCAAAACTATGTCAGTATCACTGTAACCTTGTCTCAGAGGGAAACAAAACAAGAGCAAGGAGAGTCATGGTGCTGCAACAGAGAATGGTCTTCACTGGAAAACTAAAGACGCAGTGTGCACATTTCAAAAGCAGGTGCTTCAAACAGCAGCTCGCCAAATCCTTTGAGTATTGTAAAATCAAATTCTGTCAAATGCAGCACCAATCTGGTTAATTGCTAAGGAAGGAAAGAAGGATTTTATTTTACATCAGCAGCCTCCTGCCTTGTTGAACAATGCACTGACTTCAGCAGAGATAAGCTGCCCGTGGATAAAAACTCATGTAAACCACATCAGCATGAAAAATCATGCAAACTCCCAAGAATTTTTACATAGAATGATTTGAACTGTGAACATTGGTTATTTCTTCTTTCTCCAATTGTTCTTGCCTTCCTTACTGTGAATCTTGGCAGACTTCTCTGGGGCGTGAGCTGAAGATGAGACAAAATACAGATGTCCTGCTTAACTGAAAGCTGTGGGAAGCAAATGGCTCCGAGTCCTACTTACCGCTGTTTAAAGTATGTAATCTATTCCCTAATTCTGTTGATGCTGAGAGAGGTGTTTTTAAAGCGCCTTACCTTATTGACAAGTGATAGAAGGTGATTGTGTGAGGAAACTCATTGGGTTTGTTTTGTCTCCTCACTTCAGCTTTGGTTCCAGTGCAACACGATATTGGGACACAGGGAGCGGGGCGGGGGAGGAAGAGCAGCCTAGATTTGTGGACTCAACAGTGCATTTGAGAGATGAAGAGTTTTCACCCTATGTACCAATGCACTAGAGCAGTGGTTCTCAAACTAGGGCCGCCGCTTGTTCAGGGAAAGCCCCTGGCGGGCCAGGCCAGTTTGTTTACCTGTCGCGTCCGCAGGTTCGGCTGATCGCGACTCCCACTGGCTGCGGTTCGCCGCTCCAGGCCAATGGGAGCTGCAGGAAGGGCGGCCAGCACATCCCTCAGCCTGCGCTGCATCCCGCAGCCCCCATTGGCCTGGAGCGGCGAACCGCGGCCAGTGGGAGCCGCGATCGGCCGAACCTGCGGACGCGGCAGGTAAACAAACCGGCCCGGCCCACCAGGGGCTTTCCCTGAACAAGCGGCGGCCCTAGTTTGAGAACCACTGCACTAGAGTAAAGACTTAGCAACACCCCATTTTTATTCTGACTTTTTATGTGCTGAACCGTACTCCCCACTTTTCTTCCATGGAGATGATGTGCTGTTTGGAGTGGGGACCGCATCTACCTTTGTGTTTGCAGAAATCAGGGTGCTACAGTAATATAAACATTAAATGACTAAAAATGAATTGGGCTTATACCGGGTGCAAAACAGAACTCTAAAACGAGAGCAAAGCAAACTAGAAGACTGTACCTATTTCACTCCCATGAGCAGACCCATGGTACTGTTTGTGAGCAGGGGCCAGGTTTGAAAAAAGAACCATGCAAAAGCATAACAGAAATAAAAAATGCCACATTATACTGAACTCCTCCTTTAATTCCAGGCTCAGTGTTGGCACTTTAGCTGTCCCAGTCTTTTTTTTTTCTGACCAACATAAAGAGCTCGGTTCTACATTGAAGTCAATGGTAACTTTCCTTCAGTAAAGAGCGAAGAATCATGTGCATAACTTATCAGAACTGCTGCTGGGTTTAAAAAAAAAACAAGGCTCATTAGAAACTCGTCTGTGTCTGGCTTTAGCCGGAGAGTTATAGCCATTGCTTCGCACTGCAGTCCTCGCCATAGTAACCTGTACCTGAGTGTGTTGTTGCAAGGTGCTCCCTCATTGGGCTGCCCTTGAACCACTCAGAAGCTTCATCTGGTATAGGATGCAACTGCCTGTTTCAATTGTTATCCGTAGGGTATATACTGCTCTTGTTCCCATAATGCTACACTGGCTTCTGGGGTGCAATTCAGGGTGTTGATTGTGATCTGTTAAAGGCCTGTAGGGTATTGGTCATGGCCACCTGAGAGACCACCGCTCTCCCTATGCTCTGTCATGAGGTTTGACGTCGGCTGGACTGCTTTTCTAATAGTTCCTGGATCTGAATACATATGGGCTAGAGGCAGGGCATTCTCAGTGGAGGGACCAAGGTTCTCCCTTTCCTTTTGTCCGTCAGAGATTGAGTTTGCTGTAGTGTTCCTCTGTTTACTCAAGCTTTTGCCCAAAGCGGCTAACTGCAGGGAGGATGCAGAATCATTTCAGCCTGGGAACCAGTGTTGTTTTGATGCTGTTCATAGGTTTTTTGTATGCGAGTGTAAAAATAGTCAGAGAAGTGGTTTACAAACCAAAATTTAGAAATGACAGCTACTGAAATGGAACCATTTCCAAAAATGATGACATTAGAAACCTGTTAAATACCAACCAAATCCAGGGCAATCATCATATACATATTAATAACAATTCTAAGGCTTATGTGTACTCTCTGAATGGTCATTTTCCTTACTGTATATATCTTTATAACAGGCATATTATGACTTCATTGTGCTAATGGTCTCCTTTTATTGTCTTGAACTGCAGCATCATTGGATCTGCTTTTTAAAGTGGAAATTATTATTTGTTCTTGAACAGTCAGAAGGAGGCTGAAACAATGAGGAGGTTTTTGTGTGGATACAGACTAACACGGCTACCCCTCTGATACTAGGATAACTGAGATTCTAGCCCTCCAAAGATATGAACTAAAACCATTATTTTTCTAATAATAATAATTAATAATACTTTTCACTCCCACGACACATTCCAAGAACTCAAAGAACTTTCCAAAATCTATTGAATTAAGCCTCAGGAGATCCTTGTTGGGATCAATAGTTTAGTCAAAACTTTCAAACCTGGTGATTAAAGTTAGGCACCTAAGGGCCAAATCTACAAAAGTATTTAGGCACCTAAAGATGCATTTGGACGGCTAGTGGTATTTTCAAAAGAACTGAGCTGTCTAAATCCCATTTAAATTAATTGGAGTTAGGTCCCCACATGCTTTTGAAAATCCCATTAGGTGCCTATTTGTATCTTTAGGCATCTAAATACCTTTAAAAATTTGGCCCCTAAATCCATATGCAGGCGCCTGTTTAAGTGGTCTGTTTTGCAGAGATGCTGAGTGTCCAGAGCTCCCATTGACTTCAATGAACATTGAGGACAAGCCGTGCTTCACATGAGGCACAGAGCACTTTGTAAAAGTTGGCCCTCAAGGTTGGCAGCTGAGAGAGGCTGACTGCTTCCTGCAAGGTCACTTCAGTGGGAGATGAAGGCACTCAGCAGCCTGCAGGCTTTAAAAATCCTACCCTGCCCTCATTGACATGAATGGCAAAACTCTCACAGGATTCAGCCGGAGCAGGGGAAGGCCCTAAATTTGTCGATTACATCTGTGATTTATGCATGGCTCAACCAAGGAATAAATTCCCATAATAGATGAGAGCATTATGGCCTTGCTTCATTCACCGGTTTGACAAGTAACGGGACAATAGCAACAGAAGATTCCATTAACAGTTTGGGGATGGACGTCTCCCTAAAGTTTTCTAATAATTTTATATCAGCAATAAAATAATAAAAAATAATTTCCAATAGTTTCCCATTACTGACAGGTGAAGAACTCTTCAAAACGACAAGAAAGTGAGCACCAGGCATTGAGGCTTTTGTAAAGCATAGAGATTTCTAGACTAATTCACTTATAGTCATTCTCATGGCTTTCTAATTCCATTATTTTCAATGGATTTGCATTTGGGAAAACTCCGTATGGAGATTCTACATTGAAGAATAAAGCCAGACTAGACCTGTACTTCAGTAGCGTTACTTGTAGTGAAGAAAACGCCCAATCTAGTAAAATGTGGAAATATTAAACATTAGTATAACTTCTCTGCTGTGACTGCAGTAGTCTAAAAAAGTAAACAAACAACAATAGTTCATCTGGGTCTTTGGGTGGAGGGATAGCTCAGTGGTTTGAGCATTGGTTTGCTAAACCCAGGGTTATGAGTTCAATCCTTGAGGGGATCATTTGAGGATTTAGTTGGGGATTGATCCTGCTTTGAGCAGGGGGTTGGACTGGATGATCTCCTGAGGTCCCTTCCAACCCTAATAATCTATGAATTATAGTGGTAGGAGAAGTCATACTTTTACTTCCTAAGGTCTCAGGCCTGCAACTTTGCGGCCTTATGTAGAGCGTAGGAAAAACAAAGGGGCATACTGAGAGGCTTTTGCTTGTGTCAAAGTCAGTGTGATAAGAATGCTTAGCACCTTGCAAAAGACGCTTAGCATGTCACAAAATCATGCCCTAAATTCCAAACCAGCTTCAATCATGTTACCTAGCTAAAAATGGACAGTTGGTTCAGAGCAGCACTAAAGATGCACTTCAAATTGAGAAGCAATTTAAAATGCAGAAATTTTGTTTATCAAGTTGAAAATATCTGCTGATAAGATAATCACACACTTAAAATCAGTCCAATCCCTTACGCATCCCTTGGTACCTTTATCATGTTTTTATTGTAAATATATTGTATACTTTTTTAAAACATGGGCACTGTTTTGCTCATGATTGTAAACCATTTGGAATGGAGCTCAGATTATTGAATATCTAGGTTACTTGTCAGCAGTGATGGTGATATTACTGCTATTCATATTATTGTAAAAGGAGTACAAAGATAATGCAATCTAGCCTTAGAATTACTTTGTTTTAAATTCACGTAGGGCCTGATCCAAAGCACAATGACGTGCCAATGGAAAAATTCCTATTCATATCAACAGACTTTGGATCAGACCTACAATTACTTGACATTTTGCTGTTGAAAAT